GCAAAGCCGTGGTCTTCATTGGTCTTCATTGTCTCTGCTCCTGGGCCATAATTGGTACTTGGTAATGCTTATCAAATTGAAGGGATTGAAATCAAAGGGCAACAGATATTAGAATCTGATTCAATAAACCAAGTAAAATTCGGCTTTTATTTCTTGTTGTGGTTAATGCTCATGCGAAATTCAAATCTTGCGTGAATTTTGGGACACCCTATATGTGCATGAGCTGAGACTCAAGGGGAGCCGTTGGCCTTGACTACAGCTGAGAGTTACTTCTCAGCTGCACGTGGCCCCTGGCCGGGCGATGTCGGCACACAGTGCTCAGCCGAGGACTGCTCACCGTGAACTGGTGCTTGACTCCCACAGGTATGTCCGTCCGGACCGGAACGGACAAAGATGCCGGGTCCCTTTTCAATACCTTCCGAGACCTGGGTTTCGACGTGGTGGTGTATAACAACTCCTCTTGTGCCCAGATGCAAGAAGTGCTGAAAAACGGTGCGTGCCCACCCCCTCCTCCCTCTGTCCTTTTCCTGTGCCCGAGAGAGGAGCAGGGCCCCAGCTGGTCCCTGGAGGATGCTTCGCAGGACACGGGGATTTCAGGGTGGGAGGCCTTTCCTGCCTCCGGACCACTCCATACCTGTCTCTGCGGTGGGTGGGTCTCTTTCAGGAAACTTAGCTTTCTCCCTAAAAAGATGAAATCAGCTTCTATGACAGCAAGAGAAATAAGATCTGTCTCTACAGAAAGTCTCAATTTCAAAAACCTGATTCCTAGGGAAGTAAATGGATGCCATGCTGCTCACCACACAGTTTAAGAGTAAACTTTTCCCTGGTGGAAGAGACAGAAGAATAATCCCGTGTACCTCACAATGACGTTCTCCCTCCCCCAGCCCCTGACAACCACCATTCTGCTTTCTGTTTCTGAGAATTTGACTCCTTAGGGACCTCGTAAGTGGAAACATCAAGTATTTGTCCGTTAGTGACTGGCATATTTCACTTAGCATGATGCTGTATTTTCTTTAACAAATACTTGCATGACAAATATTAACTCACGTAATAGATACTATCCTATCCATTTTACAGACAAGGAAACCAAGACAAAGAATGGCAAAGAAATGTGCCTGATGTCACAGACCTAACAGATAGCAGGGCCACCCCCTTCAGCACCCCAGAATGCTGCCTCCCAGCAGCTGCCTAAACCCTCCCACCTGTGGGGTCACTTCCTCATGAGACAGCTCCATTCTGGTTTCAGACTGAGAATGCTAGACTTCTCTAACTTCTCCACTGGGGTGTTCCTCCCCCTGCATGGCTCTCTGTCAGTGGCAGCTGCCAGGCGGGAGGGGGCACCACCTCTGAGGTCTTACAGGGCTTGTGCTTTAACTGGTCATTGTTCAAATCGCTTGCTTGCAGCCTCTAAGGAGGACCACAGTAATGCAGCCTGCTTCGCCTGCGTCTTGTTGAGCCACGGAGAAGAAAACTCGATTTACGGAACGGACGGCAAGATGGACATCAAGGACTTGACGAGCCTTTTTCGGGGGGATAGATGCACTACTCTGATAGGGAAACCCAAACTCTTCTTCATCCAGGTAAACCCTGTTCAAAGCCAACCCCACTGAAGGGGGGGAAAAGGTTACAGCGTGACTTGGACTGTATCATCTCTACAAATCTACGTGCTGTTTCGATTGGGTTATGCAAATGTGGGTTTTGTTTTTCTACCTCTAAATGCTTGGCTTCTGTGTTGGCTTCAGATCACAAATCATGAGGGTTTCTTTACGAGTTCCACACTGTTACTTGCTTTGCTGACGAACTCAATTCAACATTCATTGAGTCATTCAGCAGATTATCACTGAGCTCCTTGTTCATGCCAAGCACGGTTCCAGGCACTGGGACACAGCAGGGAACAGCACATGTGTTTCTGTTCTTGACTCCACGGAGTGATCTCTGCTTTGCCACTTAGGCGTGCCGAGGGACAGAGTTCGATGACGGGATCCAGGCCGACTCGGGGCCTATCGGTGACACAGATGCCAGCCCTCGACAGAAGATCCCCGTCGAGGCCGACTTTCTCTTCGCCTATTCCACAGTGCCAGGTATCAAGTCCCTTATCTGCTAACTGGGCCATGCCATTCCACCATCAGAGTGCAGGCTTGGAGCTGTATGCGTTTCCCATTGCCACGGTGATAAACTACCACAAACATAGTGGCTGAACACACACAAAATGGGTTGGCAGAGCTGCATCCCTTTCAGACGGAGGCTGTAGGGGTTAAAATCCAGGTCTTTACTTTCTCCCCTGCAATTAGAACCTTCAGCATTCCGCATCCCTTTCAGACGGAGGCTGTAGGGGTTAAAATCCGTCTTTACTTTCTCCCCCGCAATTAGAACCTCCCGCATTGGCTTACGGCCCCCTTCCTCCAGCCCTCCCAGGGCAGCTGGCTCTCCTAGCTCTGCCCCTAAGGTAATTGCTCATTCAGCCGCCTCTCACTTCGAGATTTCTTCAGCAGGAGCCAGCCTTTAGTTCTCCCTCAGCAGCAGGAACACATCTCAAAATCCTCTGGGGTCCCCCTTGGATTGGAAAGTAGCACTCCCCCCAAAGAGTGGTGAGGCGTTCCAGCTACGGGGCCATTCTCCAGCCTCTCCTTAGGCAGGCTCCGTGTTCGACTTGTCACACACTCACTTAGGAATCTGACATGCATCCCTGCTGGTCTACCAAGTCCTGTGTTGAGCATCTCCACGCAGCCCTCTAAATCTTAAGACATTTTTGCCCTTTGAGCACCCCGGCACGATTCTCATTAGGGACTCACGTGCAGAGTAGAGTGACACTGTTTCAGAAAGGTATGTGGGAGGGCCCCAGACACTGAGAGCTCACGGTCAGGGGTGAGTGAGGCTGCGGCCAGGGCAGCTGACTTGCTCTTCTTCCTGTCCTGTTGAAGGCTATTTCTCGTGGAGGAACCCAGGATATGGCTCCTGGTTTGTGCAGGCCCTCTGCGCCACCCTGAACGAGCATGGGAGAAGCCTGGACCTCTTGCAGATCCTGACCAGGGTGAACTACAAGGTGGCCAGGAACTTCGAGTCTTGGTCCAACGACCCGCAATTCCACGAGAAGAAGCAGATCCCGTGTGTGGTCTCCATGCTCACCAAGGACCTCTACTTCCCTAAGTAGCTTTGCCCACGGGTGCCGTGTAGCTGGAAAGCAATGGATCCTTTATTGATGAATCTGATCTTTTTTTTTATGCTCTTTAAATTTTCATAAATTCTAAAGGATTTTTCTTTCAGGAAAATTTCTTGGTTAATTGGGAAAAGGGTGCTATCTTATTTTCACAATGTTATCTACACGACGACTTTGTCATTTCCTCTTAATATTCTGGGTTTTGGGGGTTTTTTTTGGTTTGTACTTTTCCTCTGGTTGTCACACGTAGCACATACAACAACAATTACCTCTGCAGGTGACTCTTGGCGGTGTCCACTGTGGGCGGGGGTGCCTTTGATGGACACTTAGAGTCATGTTGGTACCTCTCAACGAGTCCCAGTGCTTGACAAAACACAGCTAAGGGGGTGGTCTTCCCGATATTGCGGGAGGTCTCCCCAAGAGCTGGAACCATGGTGGGGGGCTGCCTGGTGGGAGCCAGCACCCCCAAGGAGAGAGGAGTTATGGAAAATGGAGTCCTGGCAGGGACAAGCCCACTGCCTGAGATGGGGCAACACCAGATGAGTCAGACATGGAGAAGTACCCTGGCTTCACCTCTTCTGCCCTCCGAGTCTTCCTCCGGCACTTACCCTTCCAGGCCCACGTGGAAGCCAGTTGACAAGGGGGCTGGGAAGTGTATTTCCCTGTAATACAGCAGAGGAAGGGACAGTGAATGGGGCGGGGGAGGAACAAGGAGTGGATGTAAGCTGCCCATAATGTGAATAGAAGTAATTATATTTCCTGATGTTTAGCGATTCCTCCATTCAGTCTTTTATTCATTCAGTTGTCAGATAATCTATGTATCACCTGCTATGTGAAAACAAATCTGTTTTAGCTCTAATAAATACCTGAAACTTTTCAGATGATTCCCAGCCTTATTCTGAGTACATTTTTTGTTAAAGCTGGGGGACAATTCATAGCAAAGATTTTCTGCACTTTGTTTTCAAGGTGGTGGTTTCTTTTGAACTTTTGATACTTTATTGGGTCTAATGATGGGTTTAATGTCCATATTTATTGGTTAAAATATCGTGCTTAATGTCTAACCTGCTCAGTTTCTATTCCTTTGGATGTGTCTTATGGTCGTGGGAAAATGAGAAAACAGGAAAAGAATTGACCCTACTCACTCATCCTCCACACAAAATATAACTCGCATTTCTTTTGAAGCTAGAACACTCACAAAATACTAAGTAACCGCTTGGGAATCACCGAAACGCCTCACATACAGGCTTAATCAACGTCTGAAGTTGTTTGTGACGGGTTGCCATTTATTAATTTGGCAATAAGTCAGATGGTGTAAAACTATCTTCTTTCAATAATAAAGTGGATGTAGGGTCAGTTTATGAGGCTTGTCCCTGGTTTTCTGCCATCTAAAATATACCAAATGTTCAAAATTGAAGCAGAGATCATGAATCAAGAATCAACAGGCAACCAGCCCGCTTTCCCCAGAATTCACAGGCTGTTCTTTGGAAAGTAAGACTCTCCTGTTCCCTTTTATAGAAATAAATGTGCCGACATACATTGTCATCTGAAGTAAAAATCATAGCACTCTAGTTATTGGCCTTCGAAAGCATTTATTATAGAGAGAGAAATGATCTCGTGTTAAAAAAATTAATTTTCAAAAACTCTGAGCAGTTACACTTACTCAGTTTATAAATAGAGTATTACCTCATGCCCCTTAGATCAGAGACATAAAAACGCTATTAAGAAAGCGCCTTTGGCCCTGGCCAGTGTGCCTCGGTTGGTTGGAGCGTCATCCCGTACACTGAAAGGTCATGGGTTCGATTTCTGGTCAGGTCACATACCTAGGTTGTAGGTTTTAGTCCCCGGTTGGGGTATGTACAAGAGGCAACCGATGGATGTTTCTCTCTCTCAAGATCAATTGAAAGAAAAAACAAAAACATTCTTGGGTGAGGATTAAAAAAAAAAAGCCTTTGTCCTAGACAACTTCATCGGGCAAACACTTGGTTATCAAGACCACATCCTATTCCAGGACGGGTATGTGTTCAGTCAACTCTAGTCTTAAACTTCAATCCTTTCATTACCTGAAATTCTGATGGCAAAAGGAGAGCGTCATGATGGTTAATATGTATTCCTACTTCTCGTTCTTATTTAGGACCAAGCTCCCCCGGCAAGGGAAGCAGGCAGGCGCTGTTGTCATGAGGAAGACAGTGCAATTCTGTGCGACCTTAATCGGCTCAAATCTGAGTTTCTCTGTCTTTTCTCAAGGTGCCACTAACCTACTTGAAGCGTCAGCTTTAGGCTCTGCCCTGAGCTTGCTCTCTGAGCAAGTTTCCATAAACCATCCGAAGCCTGTTATGTTTACAGATTGCCGCAAAATAGGCCTCAAAAGAAGTGCTAGGCTTCTGTGTTTCCTTGTGATTTACAACCTCAAAAAAACAACCACCACCAAGGCCTCACTGTGAGAAAGAAAACGATGTCCACTGATAGGGCGCAGACACTGGCTGACAAATCCTTTCTTTGGTCCAGTCTTGCATTGTGTCGCCTGAAATCTTTTGTCCCGCCGCTCTGGCTACCAAGGATGGCCTCTGACTTCCTAGGAGCAGGCCCTTCTGCCTAGCTTTGCACCTGTCAGGCTTTTTTCCTGCGGGCATCTGGCCAGGTGGCAAGCTGTGGTGGCCACCAGTTGAAAGCAGCAATTCACCTGTGTCATTAGGCGGGGAGACACACAGCAGCAGCCCGGGTATCCCTAATTTCTGAAGGAATGTGATGTTTGTCAGTTCTTCAGAGATTTGCCGATCAAAGGGTTCTTTTACCCTGTTCGCCTTGTGAGTGTGTTAGGACCTTCAGCAGCACGTGTGTGCAGTGACATCAGCATCCCCTGGAAGCTCAGCCCCGCCCAGATCTGCTCAACTAGCATCTGCACCCACCTACACATCACAGTTTGAGAAGCTCAGTTCTGAGGGCAAGGATCGCTTGTTGACACATTTTTGCTTCCCCTCAGCACGGAACATGGAGCTGATCGAGTACGTGCCTAAAAGGATTAGGGAAGGAGCATAAGTGTTTTGGAGCTTTCACCGAAAATATGTTTTCAAGCATCTCTTCTCCTTCAGCAAATCCTCTTGTAAGACTACATGACGCCCTTCATTTCCAGGGTAGACTTTCTACACCCTTGTCTATTTTAAATGAGCCTTCAGCCGAGTGATGTCATAGGATTGTTTATGTTCTCAGAGTGTCTGCGAATGTGGACCGCAGCCTTTAAAATGTCTTCATAAACAGAGCAGGATTAAGAGAGCCATTCCTTGCATGTTTCCGTTGGCGGTCGGAGCTGTTGTGCGTCGAAGCCACAGAGTTTGTCTCTTCCCACCCATCCTTGGAGCCCCGTGGACACCCAGAGAATTCTGCTCTCTCCCTGCCCGTGAGCCCTCAGGCCATAGGTCACCCTTTTGATAGACTTCGGGGCTTTGTTTTGGATCCGATGGCAAATAATTCATTTTGACTTAGAAATCATTAACGCAAGCACATTACATTGGGAGGGCCCCAGCCACCACTGCAGTGGAAACTGGTGTGGCTGTGGAAACTCCATCTTGCAGGTTTATGCGTGGATAGTCCTCTGAAACTATGTGATCAACAAAATAATGAGTTGGCTTTTGGTTTCTATAGCACTATAAATACTTACAGTGCTACAATTCTCTAAGAAGTTTGTTTTAAGTATATAAAGCCAATCTGTGCCAAAAGATTTATATCGGAAAGGCACATGGGGTTATGGCTGCAGATATACAAGGTGGTCCTAGGACAACGTGCTTTATTCTGATACCAGAGACTCCCTTGCACATCAGCACGAATAGCAGCAAAGCCCGAATTAAACATCTGGAAAAGACCACCAAAGGGCCAGCAAGGCATTGGCTACTCACAGACCCCATTTCTTAATCAGTTTGGGCTGCTATATAGCAAATTACTATGGATCGGTGGCAGAAATGACAAACATTTATTTCTCACAGCTCTGGAGGCTGAGAAGTCCAAGATCAAGGTGTCGGCAGATTCACTGTTTGGTGAGAATCTGCTTTCTGGTTCATAGACTTCACCTCTTTGCTGTGTTCCCACATGACAGAAGGGGTGAGGGAGGTCTCTGGGGGTCTCTCTTATAATGGCACTAATCCTATTCCTGAGGGCTCCACTCTTGTGACCTAATCATCTCCTAAAGGCCCCACTTCCAAATACCATTACTTTGGGGGTTAAGTTTGAACATATGAATTTAGGGGGGAACACAATCATTCAATCCATAATACTCAATTAGCCATCCTACCTCCAGTTTGAATGGCAAAGGATTCAGGGTACACATTCAAGAACTCACAGACTCCCTTGCACATCAGCACGAATAGCAGCAAAGCCCGAATTAAACATCTGGAAAAGACCACCAAATCATCTCCTAAAGGCCCCACTTCCAAATACCATTACTTTGGGGGTTAAGTTTGAACATATGAATTTAGGGGGGAACACAATCATTCAATCCATAATACTCAATTAGCCATCCTACCTCCAGTTTGAATGGCAAAGGATTCAGGGTACACATTCAAGAACTAGAGGCCTCTTGCCCAGGAACTTTCACAGGCTTCACAGTAACTTCAAGCCCAGGGCGACTTTAGAGGAAGCCGGGAAGTGTGAGGGAGGAGCAGACCACCAGACAGTTTGCCATGAATGGGAGCCGGTGCCCTGGCTTCTCCAGCTGGTGTCAGCAGGCGCACCTCATTCCTGGTCCTCTCCAATCACGAAGGCAATAATTTCTAGACAAGAAGGGCCTCTTCTGTTTCCTTCCCCTCCAGTACCTTGTAGGTACCACAATGTAAGATGCTTTTAAAAAAGAACTTCTCTGTACAATCACTTTTCATAATTAATATTAACTAGATTACTGTGAAGTAGGCAAGGGGAAAAAAGTAATTCTCAAGTGAATGCTTTTTATACCAGAGTAAAGGACCAACTCTTAAAAGCTTAGGAACATCAGCTCTTGCAGATTATCTTTTCTGAAGATTCCAGCTGTATTAAGTGCTGACGGTTTTTAAGCACTGAGATGAAAGAAACAGTCTTTTTCTTTTGTGTTACTAATGGCAACTGGCACTAGAAGCCGGCTTTCCTCTCGAGACATTTAGCAGCATACATTAATTGCACAAATATTTACCGACGGTTAAAGCACAGCGAAGGCTTATACCAAAAACAATATGGAACACTTGGAGGAAAAAAAGCCTCTTTGACACATTATATTTGTGGATGGTTACCCAGAATCAGCATAAACTATTTGCCCCTTAGCCTTGGCAAAAGTGTTTAAAGAACGATGTCCCTGGTTTGATTTAGGATTTACTTGGCTGGCAGTGGCTGCTGAAGTCTTCCTTCAAGAGCCTGTGGGTGACACTTCTTCTACCCCCGCCCCCCCCCGCCACCCCACTTCAGGGTTAAAAATAAGGTTTCCCAAAATACATATGCATCTTATGGCATGGAAGAAGCGATTTCTCCCATGGTTATTCCAAATCCCAGGAACTTCGGAAAGCTACCGTGAACAAGCTGGAAAGCTTGACTAGCAGAGCCCAAGGCTCGCCATCCTGTTTCCCCCGCGAGCTAGTCAATAGCAAAGGCCCTCGTCAGACAGCTCTGTTCAAATCCCAGCTTTGGCCCTTCCGAGTTGTATGATCTTGAGGAATCTCTGGGGCTCCCGAAACCTCTGCTTCTCCATCTTAAAAGGGAATGAGTCCTATGTAGGTACCGAGGAAACAGTACCTACCTCCAAGGGTCTGGTGAAGAGTGAATGAGCTAATGAGTGCAAAGCGCACAGCACAACGCCTGCCACACAGAAAGCGCCCAGTAAGTGTTGGAGTGTTAAAAGGAGCCTGTCCCAATAAGTAATTTAGGCCACAGGAGATTAGGA